AGTGGAGTATCTTAGATGGCTGCTCACAGGCTTTTAAGACACCAGATGCTACTCACCAAGGTAGAATGTAGAACATTGTCTTTATAAACTGTGTTATGCCAGTTGAGCTAGATGTTCCCTGAGACCATGGTTCTCACGGCCCTCCACCCAGAAATTCAGTCGCTCAGGGAGTTTGGATGTTTCTATGGAGCTTCCATGACCTTTCCTTGTACAAGTTGTGCTGGCTTCCCCAGTATTGTGTACTGTCTTACTCTTCACCAAAGTTACCACTTATCTATTATCTGTTTAATAGCAAAATCAAACTTTTGAAGGACTAATAATAGCTAACATATGTTGAGTGCTTACTATGTGCCAGGCACTGTTCCAAACACTTTTACATGTATTAAGCTACTTATAACAATCCTTTGAGATAGGTACTATTATTATCCCCATTTTAAAGATAAGGGAAATGAAGTACAGAGAATTTAAATAATGTGCTCAAAGTCACAGAGCTAGGAAGTAAATGATGGATACAAATCCAGGTAGCATGATTCCACAGCCCTTACTCTTAACCACTATGATATACTGCCTCGATGATAGATGTACAGGACAATTTAACTTATATCCCTCAACATCTCTGCTAGGCATTAAGATCAATTTCCTATTTCAAGAAAAGGAGTCGAAATAATAGAAAAACACAATAAAACTGAAGATTTGTAATGCACCATCTGCATGCAGATAGATTTTGACATGTAACTATACCAGCACAAATTTACTGTTCTAGGCACAATTCAAAAGTTTTTAGTGGATCATTTAATAATAGTACTAAAAAAATGTTTCCTGCGAGTTAATTTTATAAAAGAATGTTTAAAAAAAAAATCAGTGGAAGGCTAGAAAAGTTTGCTACTGTATTTATGCCTAAATCACTAACAACAGGTCTGATTCTACAGTCTTATTCAGACAATTCATTAAAGTCTAACACCTCCAAGATTTTTAGAGATCTTTAATTTCTACTCCAAACATAACCGTACAGATTTTTTTTTCTTTTTCTTTTTGTAGAGATTTACAACACTGATATCTGTATGGTAGAATTATAGGTAGTTGTGATTTTCTTATTTATGTTTTTAATGTATTGTTTCCTAAAATTTCCACAATAGACATATATAGTATTCCTGTTATACTCAGAAAACAATTATTTTATTTTGTATGAACTTTCAGAAAAACCAATGAACCAACCCATTAGAGTTCTCAAGTATTGAAATAAAGCAGAAGGTACAGGCATGCCTGAGGCAAAACTGAAATGAGTAAAGTTTGTTGGAGGATCGACCCCAACAAACATCCTTTTCAGTTCACTGAATAAAATATACAGCCTAGAAAACACATGGAGACCTGGTGGCGCAGTAGTTAAGAGGTCAGGCTGCTAACCAAAATGTGGGCAATTCAAATCCACCAGTTGCTCGTTGTAAACCCTAAGGGGGAGCTCTACTCTGTCCTATAGGGTCACTATGAGTTGGACTCAATGGCAGTGGGTTTGGGCTTTTTTGTTTAGACAACATACATGAAACAGATAAAAAGGTAGTGTGAAACAGTAGGTTCCCAAATAATAATGTACAGTCTATATGATACTGACATATACTTTCTCTAGAGATAGGGCTCAAGAGTCTGCATTTTTAACCAACTTCCCCAAGTGATTCTTAAACACACTAAAACTTGAGAACCACTGTAGTAGGTGCTCAATAAATGCTTGTTAGATTAAATATGAACATTTAGGAAAACAGAGTGAATGCTTGAGTTTACTGCTGCCCCAGATCTATGAGTCAGCAAAGTACATGTATCTGAAGGAGTTTACAAGGATTTTCAAAGAAGAATAAGAGACAATGAAATGACCCAGGGAAGGTCGGGAGATGTGACACTTTAAAATTCTTGATGTCTTAAATAAAACATAAAAGTAAAATACCTCTTTCTGATTATCTTCTTCCTCAGAATATGGAATCTGAAAATACAGAAATTGAAAATATGGAAACTGAAAATGTGGAATCTGAAAATATGGAAATCGATACTGTTTCTTCAGTTTCTGCTCTACAAGCCCTCTCTAAGCTACTTTATCCTGAAGAAGAGGCTGATTTTGAATTTGAACAGGTGGTCATATACTTAAAGATAAATTAGTTCTGTTCACATTAAGTTATGAGACTATATTTGAACAACTTGTTCCAACCTTGCAGTGAGAGCAGGGCTATGTCATTTGATATATACACAGGAGATTGCAAGGCTGATTATGCATGAGCGTATAACCTCTAGTACATTTCTAACTAACATAATTATATTTTTTCTAAACCACCTGAACGCAGAATAGGAAAATAGTTCTGTAACTATGGTAGCAATAGCCACATTTCAAAATGTTTGTCATTTATATTTATGACCAAAGATTTCTTGACAACCACAGCAAGAATAGTAGCTAGCACTATTTAAGCCTAGACAGTATTTCTATAAAACAAATATTTTCAATTTTATAATATTAATTGGACCCCAAGTATCAGTCCCCTTAATTTTTTTTTTTTTGGCTACCCATGAAAGCAAAAGAGAAAATACTTTGAGGCAAATAATGGGACAAACTAGCTTCAGCCCACTAAAATTGGCTTCTGCATACATACTCAGTTACAGCTGTGGAGTCTAATTAGTTAAATAGCATTTGGGATCAGAACAGTAACCCCAGGGGGACTTGAAGCAGCAAGATGGGCTTCATTTTTGCTAGGAGAGTTCCCTGAACTGGTTTTTGGGCACTCCAAGGTCACTGCCAGTATTCCCAGAATGACAAACACTTTCATGTAACGCCTGCTCTCCACTCCTTAAATATCAGTGAACTTTGGCTATCAGATTGCCTATGTGAAGGCAAACAAAATTTGAGGCAGAAATTTCATTATTATACTACAATAAATCCATTTGCATAGTATAATTTTAATGACGTTTTTCATTGTTATGAGCAGTTTACCATGAATAAACCATCTTCATGAATATACGTATCAATTTACTCCTCTCCCCAATTTTTTTTGCCGTAATGTGGAAAAACAGGTATAATCTGAATATGTAGCAAGTTCAGTGGCTCAGATGGACACTGGATTGGGCTTCCTCCTTCCAGAAAGAGCTTTGGTGGAAACAGCAGAGTCAAATAAGACATGAAATGGAAATAAAATTTGTAAAAAAGGGGAAATGAGCTTGGAACTAGGATCAGGAACCAAGAAATTTTAGTCAGGAAAAAGTCTTATTAGAAGCTGAGCAAATAAAGAAAAATCAGGTGGTTAATAACAGTATGTACAACGAATAGTACACAAGAGAAAAAATTAGAAGCAATGTATCAACAAAGTTAGGAACACAAGCTCATTTTTTGCTACCTTAGCTGAAATAACAAAACAATCATTTCTGGAGGCCACATCCCGGGAAAGATAGAGCTATGCGATATAGAAAAAGTAATTAAATTAAATATTTGAGAAGCAGTGATCTTGAAGAAAAGAAAGTGGCAACTTGTAACTGGAACAGATTCAGAGATAGGATTTACCGTATTGCAAAGCCTGTTCCCTTTGGCATTTGTGTATGGAGAGGTTTATTTGCATCTAGCAGTGTTTCTAGGGGAAAGATGAGTGCTTATGAGAACAGAAAGACTAGGATCATTTTAGTGAGTTGTACAATTTATAAAGGAAAATTACTATAATAATGTATGATTCTGTATATCTGGGTGATAAGCAATTTTGAGATAATTGGTCATTCAGATACCACAGTACAGATATCATTAGAGGGTCTAGAATTAGAGTATCAGAACAGTGGGAGAGTAATTAATGTTTCTAATGAACTATTAAAATTTCCAGGAGAGAAACTGGTTTTCATTTTTCAATATGTATTCATCTCGGGAGCTGTGGAATGATTACAAGAGTGATGTGTTTTTGAGAATACAGTCTCTGAAAACAGCAAGAGAACTGTTGCATACATATCAGTTCATTTACACTAGCCCCACCATGAATTGGGAAGAGAGCATGCCTGTTGTTTTTTAAACTCATGAGAGAATCTTAAGGCCTATGGGAAATAAGGTTCACCACCCTTCACAGACATTGTAACAAGGATGTTCTAACTCTCTTCCATATTGTAAAGTGGCATGAACTGCAATAATAAATTGCTCAGATAATTGGATATGGATTCATGGTAAAGGCTCAAATGATATTCCTACAGAAAATAATTGCCAGATGGTTTTTAATGTTTCTATTATCCTGTTCCATCTTTTCACTTGAAATTTTCATTTTTAATCATTTATTTTTGTTAAGTTAATAAATTGAAATTCCCCTCTGTTCTGATGTACAGATCCAATCATCATTGTTCATGGAGAACATATCAATTTTTTTCAGGAATGTTCACGGTCTTATTTCTACTGATTTTAATTTTCTGTGGAATGAGGCACTCAACAAAATAAGAGGTCCTCGTGTTCCAAGAAAATGCTTTACCCTAATTGACTATTAGTATTCTGGTGATTAATAATTTAAGAAAAGTGCTACAAGTTTATATGACTTTAGTGATTTAAAAAAAAAAAAAATGTCCAGAATACTGTCTTGGGATTTTCCCATAAAAATGCCTTAACCGCAGATATAGCACTTTTGAAGCACCTTTTTGGAAAAGAATAGTTACTGTCTCAGACATTGTTGAGATATTATAGATTAATTTCTGATTTATAGCTGTTGGAATAGCTCAGCATAATAAAGACCCAGGTAAGCTTTTCCACCAGCTTTCAAGGACAGACACTATTCCCTTTGTCTAAATAGGGCATTATAACTTTTATACATTTGAAGCCTTGTGACATGAGGGCAGGGGCCTGAGAAAGGGAGAGGTAGAGGTGCTAGTTTGCCAAGATCCAAGGAGAAAATAACTTTTCGACTGCCAGCAGTGGAGTGAATTGGAGCTGCAGAGTCTGACATCAGCAAGAAAAACTAGTAAGAAATTAGAATTCTCTAGAAACATCAAATGAGGTGGCTTCTGCTATTTTGATGGTATAATATGTGTTATACTTAGTTGAAAAAATGAAGACTGTTCTTACACTGTGAGTCAGAGGCAGTCATGTGAAGTGTTCATGCTTGTGCAGAAGATGGCAAAATAAATTTGGACTGTGTGAAGACTGAAGTGGTTCAGCATATATATGCCACTATTAAGTTGGGGTTGCTGTTTAAATCCACTAATTCAGTGTCAAGAGATGGTGGGATGGGGAACTATTTCATACCCACAGTGGACAGAAGTAAAAGCAGTTATCAGGGCATTTGAATGGGTCATTTGGAGTCTAATTACTTAGACTCTATTTAGTGGTTAAATTTTATTTCTATAAAACTTTCCCATATATCTAGCCTCCATCTAACTATGAATAGACACTACTAATACCCCATAGATATCAATGACCTTATGCTAACAGTTCTAACCTTCATAGAGATGAATGTGGCTCATATTCTTATCTCTGTCCCTCGTTACCCCATTGCCATCGAGTCAATTCCGACTCATAGAGACCCTATAGGACAGAGTAGAACTGCCCCACAGGGTTTCTAAGTCTGTAATCTTTATGGAAAAAGATTGCCGCATCTTTCTCCCATGGAGCAGCTGGTAGGTTTGAACTGCCAACCTTTCAGTTAGCAGCCGAGCACTTAACCACTACACCACCTGGCCTCTGACTCTTGGCCCCAAGGATATATAATTTACTGAGGTGGAACTGGTGGATCTGGCCTAATGGAAGATCAAGTCTGCCCTAGGGTCTATTAAACAGAATACTTTTTGAAAGGGCAAGGAAAACATATTCAAAATAATAAGTGGCATCTGTCTCTCTGTTGTATAGCAATGATGAGTAATTGAACTGGTAAACTCTATATGAATTATTTTCGATTGAAAGCTTATTAAATTTAAATTATTTTAAAAATGCAAATTATTACTGGTCATTTATGTTATACAAGCAGTAATTACAGAATGTTGGACTTTTTTTTCTTCTATTCCAGTCAAATTGTTCATCTACTACTGGAGCCATGGGTCCTGGGAATATTGGACCACCAAAAACAGAAGAAGTCAAAAGTAAGTTATTTAATAAAGTAGTATATATTAATATAATCTTCTTCTTGGTAGAAAAATTATAGGGAGAGTAATATTAACCAATGGTAAAAAGAAAAGTTGCTGTCAGGTTGACTAACTTATGGCAACTCATGACAACCCATGTGTGTTAGAGTATAACTGTGCTCCATAGGGTTTTCGGTGGCTGATTTTTTCAGAAGTAGATCACCAGGCCTTTCTTCCAAGGCAACTCAGGGTGGACTCGAACCTCCAACCTTTAGGTTAGCAGCCAAGCACATTAACCTTTGCACCACCCAGAGACTCCAATACACACTAGCACTTATTAAAGATCATCTAAAATAATTAACAGCCATTTACATATAAAGATGCTGTTGTTACCCTACTGTTGCAGGTAAGTTGTTTTTCTAGTAATGGAAATTAATTTAGTTTGAATCATAGATATTCTTCGACATGTATTCTTGAGGTAGAAAATCAAGAAAGTAGCATGTGGTTAGACAACTTTTTATTATTTAGGGTCTAGTTACCAAAATCCTTAAATTATTCACCTTCTACCCTCCTAGATTCTGGCAACTTCACAGAATTCATTCATTCAACAAATATTTGTTGAGCACTTATTATATACCAGGCAGTATGATTATCTCTGAGACTACAGTGAAGTTCAGATTAGAAAGGGTTTCTGCCCTCATGGAACTAATAGTGTTTTGAAAAGGACAATAAAATAAATAGCCACAATTTTATCTTACATTGAAATGCTTATGAATTAATGGACATGGGGTTACATATAAAATCACAGGTCCAATAAACTAGAATAAATAATTTGAATGTTTTTCTAACATTTTGGTCTATACTTTTTCACAGAGTTGAACATTTCACACATCTTTAAAAAAAACAGAAGGCTCTAGTTCTACTGGTTATTATCACAGTTACAGGAGGATCAGAAGAGGGAGGAAGTGAAATTAATTAATCTAGCTAATTGTAAAAGATTTTATCTGGAAAAAAATGTTTAATATAATCCAGTTGCTAAAATGAGGTCTGGGGATGGTTTTAAATTTCCTGTTGCTATTGCTGTATATAATCAAGAGTCTGTTTGCCTTATCTGAGAGATATTCACTCCATGGAGAACTAGTTCAAATTTGGATTATTTCTGTGCTGCCTGTATTCCTGATAATGTGAGTCTAATAATCTCTGAATTTGGAGGGCAATGAGTCATATGCAAGAAGTTATATATAAACATATAGTTAGACTTTACAAAGCCCATGCTAGGTAGAAGCAGACAATTTTAAAAAAATGGGCAGAATTGAAAAACTGACAATCATGCATTTCTGGGGATGCTTAGAAGGACCTAAAGTAATATTCTGCACCTGATATGGGTCTCAATTTACTGCCCCAATAGTTGGAACAGACATAAACTGGTCCTTTATATGACTACTAGAGCCTATCTACTTTTAAACATTTAAAGATGACATGTAGAAACCCAGGCACATGCTCAGTTCTGCATAAAGGACAAATAATAGAGATTTTCTTTAAAACTCATGTCTACATGAGGAAAACACTGGGTTAAAAAATGATGATTGTATCCACTGTTTTCAGTTTCTTTAGTAGATATTATATTTTTAAGAATTGTGTCATGTTTTCATGGAGAAGTTCTGTAAGGGTTTTTATGTAGTAAAACACAATGCAATACTGCTAAGTGAAAGAAGCCAGTCCGGAAAAGCTACATACTGTATGATTACAACAATATGACTTTCTGGAAAAGGCAAAATTATACAGACAGTACAAATATCAGTGGTTTCCAGGGTTTAGGAAGAGGGGAGAAGAATGAATAGGTGGAGCACAGGGCATTGTTAGGGCAGTGAAGCTATTCTGTATGACACCGTAATGGTGGACACATGACATTAAGCATTTGTCAAAATTCATAGGCTGTACACACAAAGAGTAAATCCTAATGTGAACTATGGACTTTAGTTAATATGTGTCAATATTGGTTGATAAATTATACCAAATATACTACAGGAATGCAAGATGTTAATAGGAAAAACAATGTGCGAGGGGAGGGAATAAATAGGAACTTTGTACTTTCTGCACAGTTTTTTTGGTAAACTTAAGACTGTTCTAAAAGAGAAAGTCTATTTTAAAAAAAAACCACACACAATCTAAAATAAGACATTTCTACCCAAATCAAATTATTGTATGTTTGATTTGTTCTTTTATGTAAATGGGAATATTTCTGTCTTAGTCTGGGTTCTCTGGAGGAGCAAAACCAGTGCAGCATATATAAATATATATATATAGAGAGAAATTTACTTCAAGGAAGTGGCTCACACGATTGTGAGGAAATGGCTCATGCAATTGTGCGAGCTGGCAAGTCCCAAATCCGTGCGTCAGGCGACAGGCTGAAGACCTTTGCTGGTTCACGTGGTTGCAGGGGCTAACGAACTAAAAAATATGCGGGTCAGGCAGCAGGCCAGAAGCCTCTGCTGGTTTGCGGGGTTGCTGGGGGTTGGCAAATCCAAAATTTGCAGATCAGGCGACAGGCTGTAGACTTCTGCAGGCTAACGTTCCAAGAACCAGAGGTCAGGTGACAAGAAGAGTGCAAGATACAGAAAGAGAGAGCTTTGCCAAAACATCCATTTATATACTGGAGGCAGGCCATACCCCAAAGGACACTCCCCTTTCAACTGATTGGCAGCTCACATCAGATCACAAAATGGAAAGTGATTACATAGTGTCTACCAAATCAATGAGAATCATAGTCTAGTCAAGTTGACACATAGCATTAACCATCACAATTTCTTTGCTTACATATGTATAGGGTAAAAGACTAGAAAGGTATATGCCAGAATGCTAACATTGATTATCTCTGGGCAGTTGGATTGTAGATTTTAAAATTTTGTTCTTTTTGCTTGTATGTCTTTTCTAAATATTCTACAATTAACATGTATTAGTTTTGTATTGACAAAAAAATTAAAGTCAGTTGTTACTAATTTAGCTTGTGTTCAGAAAAAAACAAGCTAGTGATTACAAATAGAAAATGTTTTATTTGAATTGTCCCAAACTGAGTATGAAGAAGAACAGGAGCAATTTAGAGGGGAGAAATGAGCAACAGTTTCAGTTTTATCTTCCATTTCTTTACAGTCATCCCTCAAACCAGTGTTGAAATTAGCGAGGACATTTGGAATGCAGAAGAGGTTCCAGAAGGAGCAGAGCATGATGACATGTGGGATGTTAGGGAAATACCTGAGTAAGTCAAATGAAGCCTGGAATGTGTTTAAGGGTTCAAGTTAGATATGTCCTCTGATACCATTTCTATTTTTTGACAAGATTCATAAAGTAACTTACACCACAGAAAAGATAAAACTATAGTGACACACAGAAGACATGGGTAATTGATGATTTTTTTCCTGTAGAGAGAAACAAATAATAAAACATAAAACCTTCCTTTCAGTTACTATCTAACAAAAGAATGAAAAATACAGTCTTTCCATTATAAATTTATATTTAATGTCAATTGTGTAATGTGGAACTAACAGTGGGAGAAACCCAGCCCCTTAAATTACAAGCATTCATACAAACTAAATTACAAACCATGTTTATGAATCAAAGACCTGCTTTTAATTACTCAATGTTCCACAATTTCTATAAAAGGCTGTGCTCTCCCTCTAATTATCAGTTATTACCTGGACTTATTTATTAGATATTTTTAGAAGTATAGTTAGTATTTAGTATATTTTGCCAGAGGGATTGTAGCCTTGCTTTGTAGCCCTTTCAATATTATCAAATTATAAACATGGAATTTAGAATAATGATCATAAAAAATTTTTACTCTGATTAAAAAAAGGAAGACTCATACTTTTGAGGAACTTAAAGTGTGTTTACATACATAGTGGAAATTAATGCTTAAAGAGACTAAGCTTTAAATACATATTTAAATAAAACCTTGATTGAATATTTAGAATAACTTGTAAACAAAGGTAATATTTACTAAATTATAATGTACTTTATAAATTCTTAAAGATTTCTATGACAAGTGACCTGAAAAGTTTTCTAATTCTGACTACAAAACTGTGCCCAATGCTTTAAGAAAACACCTGTGTTTCTATCTTCTGTATCAGTTCTGAAAACAGAAGCAGGGGGAGACTGCAGATAATTAACTAGAAAAAAATCCAGCTTTAGAATAAATAATGTCAAAAAACATAAACCTCATTTTAAAAAAGGAGATTTTTTAAAACAACATTTCTGTCTGCATCCTAAGAATGCAGAGAGTAAATCTCAGGTTATATTTATATAACACCCACACATCCATATGAAAGGTAAGAATTAAGTCACTCATTTGTCATATTGTCTAACGAATGTCAAACATCTATATGCGGCAAGCTCCAAATTTGAGTAAATTTTCACTTTTCAACCTGATGTTTGATGTTCTATAGATAGAACATCCGTGTGTTAAGTGAATAATAACGCCAGTCAAGATATGAAGAAAGTTGCTGTATAAGATTTTTTCATCTTTATTTTCTACCTCATGAAAATACATTTCAAAATATCCCAAAAGCCTGATAGGAAAACGGGTGAAGGACATGAACAGGAAGTTCACAAAAGAAGAATCACAAGTGGCCAAATGAAAAATAAGGATCTTTAAGTCACTGGCCTTAGAGGAAAGTATGAGGGTCTTTATTCGGGAGATTTTTTTTTTTTTTAATTTGAGAGATTTTTGAAGGAAGATTTGGTATTTGAGTAGATGTAATGGATGAGAGGAGAGCATCAAAGATAATGTTACAGTTACTTGTTGGGGTGATTGGATGAATATCAATGGCATTAACTGTGATAGGGAGTAAGTGGAGGAGAAGCAGTGAGTTTGGTTTTGGATATGTGAATCTGAGATGCCTTTGTGGCATTCAGGCAAACCACTATAGAAGGCACTTGGAAAATAGAGTCTGGAGCTCAGGATAAGAGCGGGATCCATTTGGGAGCCACAGGCATACGGATCAATACCTTTCTGTTCTGTTTTAACCTGGTTTCACCTTTGTAAATATTTGGTAGCCTCTTAAGAGAAAAGTGCTCCATTTCAAATAGCTCCTTTTGGTAGTCCTGTTCAAACTCAGAGAAATCCCTTTTATTGTTCTTGGGCATTCCTATTTGCCAATGGTCAGAAGTTCAATCTATTCTTTTAGTCTTCCTGTCCAGAGACTTACCATTTGTTCATTAGGGTACAATCAGTGGGAAAAAAACAGTTTGTCAATTTTTGCTTATTTCATTCCATGTGAAGAGATAAGGGTAAGTTATGGCTGGGTGCTTCTAAAAACTATTCTATCCCTAGGGACTCAAATTTGGGAGGAAGAAAAGATTTGTGAATTGACATGTATGTGCTAAAATATCAGAAAATTTTTTCATTGAACTAAGAATTCTGTAGGACTAGATTCTAAACTCTGTAATGTAGCTGTGTTGGCTGCATTACCTGTCTTTCTATTGTAGAATTTAAGAGGTGGAAAAGATCACAGAGATCATTTAGTTCAAACACCTCTTCCCCCATAAATTGTATAAATATGATGAAAGCTGAGACCCTATGAGTTTGTGATTTGTCCAAGGTCACACAGTTAGTGACAGAAACACTACTAAAACTCAATTTCCTGACTCTGGTCTGTGGCTTAAATGTAGCAGAGGAGGGTTTCTATCTATCCATCAAACTCTGGGCTATGGATCCAGTATTTTTCTGAGCCATTGTTTTCCAGGAAAAGACTTTCCTTTTTACTTCTATTTTTAATCTTTACTAGAATATTAGAAGTTCCCTCAATCCAGTTTATTTGTATAGTTCTAAAACAGCTAAGCTTTATTTTAGAAATCTAGTATATATGAAATAAACAAAACCCTACTTTTTAAGTGTTTGGCATTTTTGACTAAATTTCTAGACTTCTTTTATGTTTTGCTACGTACCTGAATACTGCAAACACTTTATGTAGTGCTTTTGTTTTTTGTAATAGCATGTCCTCATAAGGTTCTAGTCTTCTCCTCTGTGACAGAAAATTACTCTTCCATTTCAATCTCTATTATTATTGACTTTTCTTCAGGTATGAGATTGTATTCAAACAGCAGGTGGGAACTGAGGATATTTTCCTAGGATTGACCAGAAAGGACGCTTCTACAGCATGTTGTGAGGATCTTGTGGTAAGCCTGTCTGCCCCCCCCGCCACCCATTTTCTGTATGACCATTATAGCTAAATTGAATGAATGTTGTATACATAATACTGTAGGCAAGATTGTAGACTCTTTAAAAATAGTGACTGCTATATTTCAGGTACTAGGGGAGTAATGAGCTAGACAGTTTAAAATTGGTAAACGTCTACAGACATGTAATAAACTAAGTTTACACATGAGGATAAGATTTACAAATAAATACAATAGAATTGTATGACATAATACAGGACTTCTAGTCCCATTAAAACTGCCCCATCTGTTTGTACTGAATTTTTTTTCACCCTAGTCCCATACATGTGATATGATTGGTTATCAACTTCTAATGAGTTGACAGGCAATCGGAATGAAATATTTTCTTTCCTGAATCTGTGTTATCTCTTATTTCTGTATTTCTTTTAATGACTCAGCTTGCATTAGGGGATTTAAAAAGGGATTTTCTTCTTAATTTTTAGCCCTAAATTTCTGATTTAAAATACTAAGAAGACATCTAAAAAGTTACTTGACTCCCTTATCTGAATGACACTACAGCATGTTGGACAGTATCCTTGCCAAGTCAGTGTTTCTATATGATAACCATAGCAATACCTATAATATCAATTATACTACCTTACTTTTGCTCATTTGATCCTCACAGTGATCTTGTGGGAAAGTCTGGGCCTACCTAGCCTAGAGAGTGGAATGAGACTCGTTTTGGCAGCATACACAAGTACTTCTGGTGTTGAAAATTCCTTTTTTGAAATCGGGCTTTGCATCCACCATTTTTCCTCCTCTCTTACAATACTCTGCATTATAGAGTAGTAAGGTGTTCATAAAACCACCAGTTGCCATCAGTTCCTACTCATGGCAACCTCATGTGTGTCAGAGTAGAAGTGTGCTCTATGGGGTTTTCAGTGGCTGATTTTTTGGAAGTAGATTGTCAGGTCTTTCTTCTAAGGCACCTCTGGGTGAACTGGAACCTCCAGCCTTTAGGTTAGCAGCCGAGCACGTTAACCATTAGCACCTCCCAAGGACTCTCCAAGGTGTTCATAGGAGATATTTAATATACTTTCCTTAAGCAAATAGTAATGGAATCTTTCTTTTGCATAACTTCAGGTTTTCTCTTATTAGCAAAATCTAAGATATTCAATTGAATCAAGTAACATAATGGGAATAGTGACTTTAAGTACCTCAGGAGATTTTTCTATCTCTAATGAGTTAAGGTTTCAAGTGGTCTTGAAGTAATTAGCTCCCAGGGTTTTATCAGTAATATCAAATTTATCAAATTCCTCTCTCTTAAACTAGTTCAAAATTATGTTTCTGATATTTATTGTTGAGGGTTGCTCTAAACTCCAGAGAAATTCTAGACCCTAAATAAATAAAACTGTTGTGAGCCTTTCTATTTCTCTCCTGCAAATTGCTACTAATTTTAATAATAAAGGTATCCTGAACGAAGAATCTTGGAAACTAAGTCACACCTCAGGATAAGAATATACAATTTATCTAAAACTCAACAAGTATATGCAGCAGAAGAGTTAATCCCTCCCTCTGATAAATTTATAATCGATTGGGGAGACAAAGCTAACATAAATGAACTCATTTTATTTTTAACAATTCTAAGTATACTAGGAGTTCAGAGGGTTTGGATGAGTGCCAGATGAAGGCACCGCTGAATAAAATGAAATAAAATTAAGCATTTGCTGGTCCTATGGCACTTTACCACACAATTAATGTGTACATTTAATGTGATAGTGTGCCTATTTTTTTTTTTTGTATACTTTTCTTTTTCTCTTTCTTTCCTTTTCCTCATTTGTTCATTCATTAAATACTTGGTGACTACTACTATATACCAGGTATTGCCCTAACTGCTAGGGATACAAAGATAAATAGTTAATTGCCTTCAAGGAATTTAAGAAGATGGACACCTAACAAATCATTGCAGCTTGGTATGGTAAGCATATATTTAGAGGCATATACCAGGTACATGGTGACCTAAAGCAGAAAGGGATCAACTCTGATTGGGTGGATAGGATTTCTACAGTGGGCAATAAGGGCAGGGAAGGCATTCCACGCAGAAGCAAGAGCATGTGGAAACATATCCAGGCATGAAATTGCATGGCATATTGAGTAAGGGGTGAGTATAACAAGAATAAAGAATAAGTGTGGACAGTGGTGTACTATTAAACTGGCTCTGAAAAAATTAAAAAAAGAAAGCCCTGATTTGTAGCTTGAGTTTTATCCTGAAGGCATGTTAATGTTGACATCCGCTGCCATTGCTTAACCCCACTGGTAAGACTCAGACTAAAGAGGTTGTTGACCCCATGTCAAGTATTTCTTGCTCAAATTTATAAGCTTATTATTCCTGTTTATAATGTGGCATTTCCTTAAATCTAAGACACCATCAAACTGTAAATGTGTCATTTATTTAATAACAACTTCTCGGGGAAAATGAAGCACATTACCACATTAAATGTACACATTGATTGTGTGGAGCATCCCAATATCAGAAACATTAAAATGTGGGGAAAATTAAACCTTAGAATTGGCAAAATATGATATTTAGGTCTTGGACCTGGTCCATATCTAACAATCCAATCCAGAGACTTCAAGAAAATCTCTACTTAAGCTATGGAAGGTAATGGGAGTAGAGAGCCCAATTTGTTTAAGTGCAAGGAGTGATTTGGGGTTTAAATATGCACAGGGGATAAACTTTCACTGAAAACACAATAAAATAGTATTTAAACACAAAATGCACAAGGGATCATCCTTTCCTCTACCCTTCTCAGACTCTAGATAAGAAAGCAAGATTTGTGAGTCCTAAATCAAAGTGAAGGAGCCCTGATGGCACAACAGTTAAGCGCTTGGCTGCTAACTGAAAGGTTGGCAGTTCGAACTCACCCAGTGGCTCCTCAGGAGAAAGATCTGGTGATCTGCTCCTGTAAAAATTACAGCCAAGAAAACCCTATGGGGCAGCTCTACTCTGTCATATAGGGTCTCTACGAGTCAAAATAGACTCAACGGCACCCAACAACAACAAATCAAAGTGATGTTCCTAAACAAAATTCTGAGTTAGGAACATGTATGAGCAAACCTTCCATTCTTTCCTTCTAACGTCAAACAAAAAACCCCATTACCCAAATTCTTCCTGCCTTATTATTATCCTTTGCTCCTCTATCTCCAAGTTTGTAGCTGCCAAGCTTGTTGTTGTTGAGTACCGTCGAGTTGATTCCGACTCATAGGGACTCCATGTGACAGAGTAGAACTACCCCATAGGCTTTTCTTGACTGTAATCTTTTATGGAAACAGATCACCAGGTTTTTCTCTTCCAGAGCTGCCAAGCTACCCTTGCCTTAATCTCGCTATTAGAGATACAGCCAGGCCAGTGGTTTACAGTTTGTTTTTGAGTTGCAAAACCTTTTTTTAAAAAACAATTCTACGAGAAAGCCCAATATATAAAACCTATAAAAGTACCACTGTCTTCACTGAAAGGGTACTGCCACCCATGAGGCAGCTCCTAAGACAATGACTTGGGCTGTTTGGACCACAGTTTGCTAGATGCTGATTTAGCATCTCCTCCTTAATTACAGTTGAGAAACTAAGGTCAAGCTTACAAGGTTTCAAATACTCATATAAATTAATAGAAGAATAATAAGAGAGCCAGAGGACTTCTTTGTAAGTCACACACACACACACACACATACACACGCGCGCGCGCGCGCGCGCGCATATTATTTTTTTAACCGCATGGGTAGAAGACCCCTGTCTTGTTTTTTTCATTTTATTTTTCCTTTCTTTCTCTCTATACTCTCTATTCCTCCCCACAAGGCTCCCACTGTAATGAGTTTGATATAGATTCTTGAATACATATGTATTGATGTTTGCTACAATTTTTAAAAATTCAACAAGTATTTTTTGAACACTTAACTATGTGCCAGATACTAGATCTATAGTGTTGAACAAAATAGACAAGGTTCTTCTTCTCTCAAGTAGCTTACTGTCAAGAAATCAAGGAGTCTCTAAGCAAGCAGTACAGTGTCAGCTGTTAGGTGGGCTTACCATACTTTCATAAATTTATCCAATAAGGAAACAATGAGCCCAAATGGATATAGTTTATTACTTACACAGACAGCATAAGCAAGATCAGCATGGTGTCAGCTCCCTGTGTCCCTTTGCCCACAGGACGAACTAAAAAAACCCATTACATTGAACCAAGGGGCTAGATGACAGGCAATGTGCATGGTAGGCAACTTGGTTGAAGAACCAACTCTAAGGCTGCACCTGCATCTGGACCCAAGGGGAGCAAAGTGGAAAGTCCTGTGCCTTACTGGAACCAGGGAGTTGGATGAGGAACTGCCTTGTGGAAGCCTCCCACTAGATAGGGAGTCTTCCACAAGGTAGGGTGGCAGATAAGAAACGTCCTTGAGGCAGCTCCTCACAAGACTGCCTATCTTCCCATGTTCCAGGAGGATCACAGGACCTTCTGTTGAAACCTAGGTCAGACTGCAGTTGAGCCTTGCCTGCATGGATACGTGCAAGGTCACCAGAATGCCATGGTGGAGCAAGTTCCCTACACTTAAACTCTATAAATAAAAGTTTTTATCCTATTTGTTTTTACTTACCATCATATTATCATCATCATCATAACAAACATGTACATAGTGCTTACTGTGTGTGAAGCATTTCTCTAAGAACTTTACACGTAGTAACTCATTAATCCCCACACCAACCCTATGAAGCAGATGCTATTGTTATTCTTATTTTACGAATGAGATTGCTGAAGCACAGAGCAATCACACACCACTTAAGATTACAAAGTTAGAATGCGGCAGATCTGCAATCTGAACCCAGGCAATTTGAATTTGATAGAAGTATGTGCAATGTGATTTGAGCTCAAAGAAGAGAAAGTCCAAGCAGACTTCACAACAGAGATGGCATTTGACCTGGATATTTGAAGGACACATAATGCTTTGCCCGGCAGAAAAGAGCAAAAAAGC